ATTGTTATTATCGAGCGGACAAAAGAAGAAAAAGAAAAGAGTACCCGAGTCAGAGGTAACAGCCGCTAATAACGACCAAGTTACACCTAGAGACGAAAATATAGAAAATTCTTATAATTCTGAGGATAATAGGCATTCGAATTCAGTAGAGCAAAGAATAGTAAAGCAGATAGAACGTCGAGTTAATTCGAGCTAATAATTAAGAAATTATATTAGAGTCCGTAACAAAATCTTTAACCAGAGTAAAGAAATTGGAATTGATGTTAGGAACAGACCTAAGCGAAACTCTTTACGATTGCGTAATTGTTTTAAAAAAAATTAAAGATAAATCGCAAAGATTGACGGTTAGTTTAGATGCAATGCTTAGCAAAGACAAAGATGTTAGACCATTTGTAGAAGTGAGAATTTTTGGTAAAATTTATGGCGGATTATTAGATTCCGGTGCATCTGTCTCGTGTTTAAGTGGACAAGCAGTCAAGGAAATTAATGAAATAAATGTTGTTTTACCAGTAATCGATTTGGATTCACCTTATTTTTGGTCTAACGATTACGTTTTGCAGAAAAATGTCATACTAGAGAATCAAAATCGTTTACCAGATCTCAAAGTTGTGGATCAGTATATATATCGTAGAAATCAGTTTTATAGAGACGACGTATGCGAGTCAAACTGCTGGAAGCTATGGGTACCATCCGAGTTGACTAAATCAGTTATAGAGAACGCTCACTCACCACCTCATAATGCTCATGGAGGTATAGGAAAAACCTTAGAGAGACTTCGCAGAAATTTCTATTGACCAAGCATGGCGATAGAAGTGAAAAACTTTATTGCGCGGTGTAATGTTTGTAAACAATCAAAAGCCCCAAATATCACACTGAAACCACCTATGGGAAACCCAGCAATAAGTGAAAGGCCATTTCAACGCCTTTATATGGATTTTATTGGACCTTATCCTAGGTCAAAGAGAGGAAATATAGGAGTGTTTATTGTGTTAGATCACCTAACTAAGTTTCATTTCCTTAAACCTTTGCGAAAATTTACAGCAGATCTCGTTGTAGACTTTTTGAGTACCAATATTTTTCATGTATTTGGTGTTCCAGAATGCATTGTGACGGATAATGGAAGTCAATTTAAATCCTCACTGTTTAAGTCATTTCTTGGAAGGCATGGGATAAAACATTTTCTAACAGCTATTTATAGTCCCCAATCAAACGCATCTGAACGCCTCAATAGATCCATAATATCAGGCATTCGATCTTATCTTGGTGCAGATCAACGGTTATGGGATGAGAAAATCAGCAACATTTCAGCAGCATTACGCTCTGCTTATCATTCAGTAATCGGATGCTCACCATACTTTGCACTTTTTGGAAACAATATGGTTTCGCATGCGAAAGATTATGACCTGTTAAGAAAATTAGAAAGTCTTAAAATAGGTGAAAGAATTTTAGATTAAGACAAGCTACAAGTTATACGGGAAACCATAATGGCAAATATCAGCAAGGCATATATATCTAATAAAAGGGTATATGATCTTCGTACCAGGTTTGTGACATATGAACTAGGAGAACAAGTTTATAGGCGAAATTTGGCTCTGAGTAATAAATTAAAAAAATTCAATGCAAAGCTTGCTCCAAAGTTTTTAAAAGCAAAAATTGTTCGCAAACACGGTAACCATTGTTACGAATTAGAAGAGAATGGTAAAGTAATTGGAAAATTTCACGCAAAAGATCTTCAAAAGTGTATGACTTAATGAATCTGACCGATTTTTCAGCTTCTTTTATCACTGTAAAAGCTAATAAAATAATCTGTGTTGTGATGGTCAGCTTTGTTTGTGTACGGCTTAAGTCATATACATATGTAGTTTTGAGAGTCACTTTGTTTGTCTTATCTTATCTCTAAAACAAAAGCTCAAAAGATAAAGCCACGCTTGTGTAAAAGAACTTTGGTTAGCTGATTTATCTTAGTCAGCAATACTATCTGTTTTTTTTTTTGGAAGTAAGCTTATCCTACGCCCACGCGGTTTATGGAAAACTTTTAAGCATGTGCATTTAGTTGGTCAGAGTCTCTCAAATAAATCAGATCGTTCTTGGAGTAAATAAAATCGTACACTTAAAACACGTGATAATTTTTGCACATGCCAAATAAATATAAAAAGGCAATTTTATTCAAAGTGCGTTATAAAAATATTAAGTGCATAATAGAAAACCGATCAAGAGACGTAGGAAGAACCTAACTTGGCAAACATATATATGTGCAGGTAAAATTTGTCACGAAAAATATCAATACATGTGACTGAAATAAAACATAAAGTTTCAGGATTTGTGGTTGGATTTAAATCCACCAATTAATGAAACTGCACCTTCTGACGAAGCACCACAAAATAATTTAGCTGCTAAGCTGGCCAAGCGACGTTCAACCTGATCAACTAAAAAATTCACAGCAGCGCAGCGTAAAGGAAATAACTTGGATGAGAATTAAAACTATATATACTGGACGAATAAACAACGAAAAGAGCATGCTACCACAGATATTTTTTAATTAATAATTTTTTTTATATTTATATAACCTAACCTTAACCATCAAAGTTACAGCCAATCAGCTACAGGCCTGCATGCACACGTGGATTTAAAAAGGTAACAAGTAAAAACAAAACAAAAAAAAAAATAAATAAAATTTAATAAGATTATTATGCATATATTTATATATAAGAAATTTAAAAAAAACAAAAAAAAAAATTAATGGTAGTCAAGTAAAAAAATGAAAAGTCAATTTCTATAGTTTTATAGTTTTGTTCAATGGAAAATTATATATAATCAAATTAATTATTTAAACACTATTTAACCTTTCAATAAATTAAGAATACATATATTAGGATAAGCCTTCTCTCAAGAAATTAAAAATGAAGTATTTGTTAATAATTAGAAAAGAGATAAGATATTGAAATGAACGTGATTATTTTTATATACATATTTATTGCTATTAAGAACAAGAATTATATTTGAATGTTAACATGGAATTGAAACTGAACTAATTTAATATAATGGGGTACTAAAAGAAAAACAAACACACATCAAATCACTTAAGGGTTAACACACCAAATTCAAAGCATTGCAAAGTGTTAACAAGGTTGGGCGGGTAATATAGAGCACTTACACCATGCTCATAAAAAAAAAAAAAAATAAAACAATACGCATAAACATAACTAAAATTGTAACATCTGGCTAGGTTAGCACATTCTCTTGTAATTTCGTTAGCTAGTTTTGATAAAAGATCCCCCCCCCAATCCGACGAAGTCCTAGCCGAAAACGTCCCAGTGCTAACCGCTCTTAAATCAAAATCTAGTTAAAAGGCAACTCCTGTTGCCATGAGAATCATTACAAGGCATGATTCTAATTTGTCCCTTTGTTTTTCAGGACAGAAGCCATCGCTGTCATCGCCAGCCAAGGACCCTATGGATCACTTGCAGGAGGAACCACCCTGGCGGATTGGAAGGAACCCGCTGTATCCAACTGTGCAGTTTGCATCGTGTGTATGTAGCAGGTGTGCGGCTAGCTCCGCATCCTCTCCGCCCTCAGAGAGGGCAGAGCTCCTGTCAGGCTCCCCGTCCGACTGGTCAGCATCGCAACCGGATGCCAGCATTCTGCATCTCCAGCAGGCTCCGTCCCTTGCATAGTTCTTGGGATATAGTTCGGTATTGACAAATGAAAACCATCGCAATTTCCTTTAATAGAAATCCTTATCGAGAATTAACGTTGACTCTGTTGAGCACCTTGGCCAGCTGTTCTAAAGTCATCCGTTAGATGGCGCTAGTGTATTTCGCCATCTACCAGGGCCATGAAAGGCGGAAATGTAAGCGCTAGCCAGGCTTAAGCGTTTAATGAGTTTTTGGGCGTTAGAGTGTGCGTAGCAAACTTTTATTAGGCCAATCGATAGGTATTGACGAAACAAATACATATCAATTAAAATTTTCATAATCGCATCAAAACTGTGGCCACAGCTTGTGGCTTGTGGGCGTCAGAGGGGTCGTCGGTAGGCAGGCACCATCCGCTCGCAGAACAACAACTAAAGCTGATTTGGTTTGAAGATTTCTGAACCACTTAAAAGCGGTCGGTGTTTTAAGTGTCACCGACTGCGATAAGCCCTGTTCCTATCTCAGTAGATTGATTTCTATTAATTGGAATACATACATATATGTATATGGAAAACATTTTACTGCTACTACGGATATGAATTTGTAAACCAAAATGAAATTTATGCTGAAATATTCAAAAATATACTATAACATATAATATTCTTATTTTTATCAATAACCCAATAGTGAATACGCTTATATTGTTAGGGTACCAAGTCTAAAAAGTAGCAAAAGACAAAATATTCTTGCTGCATCGAAATGGAATGATCGCACACATGCACCCCAGTATGAGAATGCATGAACACGCATACATACAAAGCCCAATTCAAGCGCAGGGCAACCTTCTTCAAAATACGCGTCTCTGCAACTGAACGACCGAACTCGTGCAATGAGCGCGCGAGCGTCAAAATGAGAATAAGAATGAGAGCGAAAAAACCCGAAGGGACACGAACTGTCCGGGGCCTGTCGCTACCAGCTGTGGGGCCTGCCGTAAAAATATTTTTGTGTCCATTTTCGTTGTATGAAATGACCAGTCTATATGTTGTATGGTTAGTGCTTTTACTTAAAATCTTCCTTATTTTAAGTTTGTCTTTCAATATATCTAAATATCTCAGTGCTTATTCGATGCGCTCTCTACACCAATTCTCCAGAAGAGGATATTTAGGAAATCTGAGTTGGATTAAAAGTTTTGTGGTGTCAAAGGAAGCACGGGCAAATTATGCATACTTAAAAACATTTAAAAAATTTTTATAATGAAGGGGCTCAAAAAACCTGTTTCCAAAAAGAAAAAACGGAGTTGTAAATACAACAACAGTGAAGATTTTTTAATTGCTGAATTTTATATTATAAAGATTTTTTTTTACTTACATGCGGATCTCCAGTTTCAGGCTTCTCGCTGGTTAAAGATGGTGATGGTGACAATGGTCGTGGAAGAGAGTTGGCCCTTGAGGATCCGATACTTTGGTTTAATGTTTCTTGCGAAATACCACTATACAATAAAAATATATTTTTAGTCCATCGCAGGCTTTGAAAATATATAACTATTATCTACATATATAAATATATTAAACTCTCTAATATCTATAATCTTTGTTTTTATTAATAAGGCCATATAAATAAAATCACCCTGAAACTGAGAACATTTTTCTTATTTAAAGAAAAATATAGCCTAAATAGAAATTTATTTTTTGAACTGTTGAAAGCAAATAAAACAAGAAAGAAAGAATACTTCGGCAAGCCGAAGTTTATTTACCCTTGCTGTTATTACATTAACAATGAAGCTATGTCGATTTCACCCGCTTGAAACTTTCTGCTTGAAACTTTCCCAAGAGTAGTCTTTCTATTGCAGGTAGTATATACATAAGTCGGAACAGGAACAATCGAAAAAAATTTCTTTGGGATTTTTTAATATTTAAATACTATTTCATATAGCTTCCACAGAAAAATCAAAAAAATAAAGCAAATTGATAATAAAAATGGTTTTCTATTTATCAAAATGTTACTTTAAGATTTAGTAATTATTTACTATATCAGAATTATTCTTTTAGTTTTGTCAAAATCGAATAACAATATCAAATGGCTGCCATAGAAACGATGGAAAAATGCAGCGCAAAATCGACACAGCTTCATTTTTTTTAGTAATATAGGCATAGAAGTCGTAATTTAAGCGTTTTTTACTATCAGCAAGGGTATATATTAGCTTCGGCTTGCCAAAGTTTGATTTCTTTCTTGTTTCTTGTTTTTTCGTCCATGTAATCTTTCCCTACGGCTAAACAGTCGGTGGGCTACATCAAAATCTGTATAAAAGCAGTCTCATATTTTATATAAATTTCGTGCTAGGTTTTTTAAATGTATTAATTAGTCTTTCCGTTACATCTTATGATATAGTATTTACAGAAATCTGGTTTAGGCCAGAGATTCTAAGCCTCGAAGTGTGTGCTTAAAAGTAGTTTTTAAACAGACGTCATTTACACTGACTTTATTAAAGCGTTTGACTCTGTAAATCCCTTACTTCTTGTTCGGAAACTCGACTTGTTAGGGTTTCCGGATCTTCTTAAATGGATATTAAGTTATCTGAGTGGCAGGACGAGTCCTCTTTAAAAATTCTCTTTCTAAAGTCCGTCCCATAAGTGAGCTATCCTGGTCCGTTTCTTTTTACTTTACTTTTATTTTATTTATTAACGACCTTCCCACAGTTATAAGTAATTCTTGTGTATTTTTACGTGCCTGGGTTAAAGCGAGGTAAGATAAAAACAGAAAATTAAACAGAATTTGCGGGGAGCATGTTTCGAAACACAACAGTTGACCAATGCAGTAACCAGCAACCAAAGTGTCGAACTAAGCAATTCTCAAGAACACTCATAAGGCACTAGGGCACAAGCAATGAATACAAAACCTAATTGGAGATGCAGTAAATTCGCGCACCTTTTCGTTTATTTATGTTCATTTGCATTAATTTGTCATAAGTTAGTTTTCATAACAGAAAATAATAAGTAAATTTATACAACCAAAAATAGTAGGGTTATCAAGTACACACACTTTCAATTCTTCAAAATACGTGGTTTGGAGCACAACATTCCGTTTCTTAAGTCATTATTTATTACTGTTATATTTATATATTTGAGCAAAACATTTAAAGAAATTTTTTAACAAAAACACATTTTCTTTCCGTAATGTAAATTATTTATGTAAAAAAAAAATAAAATTATTTTGAATCAACCATACTCTAACTCTCCATTCTATGTGATCTAATTTAATCGATATTTATATTTATACCCGTTACTCGTAGAGTAAAAGAGTATATTGTATTCGTGCAAAAGTATGTAACAGCTAGAAGGAAGCGTTTCCGACCCTATAAAGTATATATATTCTTGATCAGGGTCACTAGCCGAGCCGATATAGCCATGTCCGTCTGTCCGTCTGTCTGTCCGTCTGTCTGTCTGTCTGTCCGTATGAACGCTGAGATCTCGGAAACTATAAAAGCTAGAAGATTGGCATTTTGCATGCAGATTCTAGGAGTTCCTACGCAGCGCAAGTTGGTTTCAAAAAGGTGCCACGCCCCCTTTAACGCCCACAATCGCTTATATACGATTTTAAAATTTAAATATTTCGGAAAAGTAAAAATGCAGTTTTATTGTGTTTATCAATACCTATCGAAATGTAGAAGAAATTTTTCAAATCAGACCATTCGTTAAAAGTTATGCGTGATCAAAGTTTCTATCTCCATCTCCGTCGCACTCCCTTTACCTGAGTAACGGGTATCTGATAGTCGGGGCACCCGACTATAGCGTTCTCTCTTGTTAAAATCAATCTTGATCAACTCCTTTCGCATATCTTTCTTCGGGGCCTATAAATTAGGGCCGTAATCATTAAAATTTCTCGGGGTGTCTCACGAAGTGCCATGAAATTAGCCAAACACAGCATACTCGTATCCAGACTGTGTGTGATCTCGAAGTGAACAGCCCTTTTCTTTACGTCTTCCAACACTTAATATTTATTTCTGGCTTATTCGAATTTAAGGATACAAATATGGGTAAGTACCAGGTGCGATTTTCCTCCCTCTCTATCTCCTCGTCAGACAGCTGCATTCTAGACGATTTAAAGCAGTAGTGCGACTCTCAAGAAACTCAAGAAAGTTAATTTTCGATTTGCCTGTTCTTCTATTCTAGGCTTTGAACACTTATCTTATCATATAGGATTTGAACGCTTATCTTAGCTCGAGAGAAGTTTTTAACACGAAATTAAATCGATGTTGAATTGCTCATTAACATCGTGAAGTTCCTGCCATATACAATTGCAATGGTGCACAGTTACGTGACACTTTGAGTTTGCCAATCCCAAGATGGTCCATCCTAACATGCATTTTGACGCCATGGGCTAAGTCCACTTAGCTTCGCAGATCTGGCGGTGGACTGCAATTATCCAATTGTTTGTTCCAATCAACAATAATAGCTGCATTAATGGTACATTTTGTAGCAGGATCGCCTGTTACGTTACTATTTATAGTTGCAAATGCACATGTATAATAAATATAATAACAAGTATATTTCTAAGTTAAGTATAAGGCCAACGATCACTGTTATAATTATGTATAACATATGTATGCAGATGTTATAAGTATGTAGGTATATCGATATGTCATCGAGTCAGTCGTCATCAAGTCAGTCGTCGTTTTACAAGCGTAGAGTGTGGACACAAAAAATAAAGACATATTGAAAATTAATATATCCAAAGTGTATTTTTAATAATAACATAACTCGGACCCCTACAAATTCAGAAGTGGGCGTAACCAGAATGAATAACAATTCGGAGTTAAACTCAGTGTCAGTAGTGCAGTTAAAGAGATGGTTAGAAGTGCTAAATATGCCAACAACGGGCACTAAAGACGGATTAATTCTGAGATTGAACACAATGAGCAATACGGATGAATTTGCACATGACATTCAAAAAGAAATGCACAATTTTGTGGCTGCTTCGAAGTCGGCAAAAACCGGCCAACAGCAAGAAGAACAGTTATTGTTGGGACTGTATGGCAAAGGAGACGACGCAAATAATCAAGCCGAAAACCTAACGGATTCTTTCAACGAAGACGAAGAAAGGGAGAACCAGCAAGAGAACGAGCAACTGCACGTCGAGGTGCGCAAGACAGAAAGAGACGTCGATATTGTCAGTGAATTGCGCCAGCTAATGCAAAGCGTCGAACTACATTTATTGACACCAAAGCAAACACGCAACTCGACTATTCAAGGCCATGTAGAAGTAGAAGAAATGATGCAGAGCCGTAATAATCAGAACCGAATGGCCAACGAAAACGGACAAGGCGAAAATATCAACGGCGAAATGTCTTGGAGGATGGCGGTGGAAGCTTTGAGTGTATACGACGGACAGACCTGTGCTCGCATGTGGATAGCGCAAATGAAAAATATTTCCAATATTTATGGAATTACTGGAACTCAAATGCGCATGCTTTTCGTAAGCAAGGTCAAAGGCAAAGTTAACACCTGGTTATACGAGAATCCAAGTCGGGCCTTGCAACCAATGGATGACCTATGCGACCAGATGATTTCGATGTTCGGTGAAACGCAGTCGAAGTTAGAAAAGCGCCGGATATTCGAGTCTCGTATCTGGCAATCTGATGAGAAGTTTGGAAAGTACCTAGATGAAAAGCTGATGCTAGCCCAGAACGTCAGTTTGGATCAAGAAGAACTACTAGATCGAATTATTGAGGGCATACCAAACGGAAATTTGCGCAACCAAGCGCGAATTCAATGTTTTCGGGATGTCGCACATATGAAACGAGCGTTTGCAGAGGTGTACTTACCGAAGAAGCGAACGAACGTACCCGAAAAAGAGACTGCGTCGGTGGATCGAGCTGTTGGCAACGAAATTCGGTGCCACAACTGTAATGCTAGAGGCCACTTCGCTAAAAATTGTCTGAAGCCGAAAAGACAGCCCGGATCATGTTTTGCTTGCGGAGAAATGGGACACTGGGTAGGACAATGTGCACAGAACAAAAGCAACAAGAGAGCTGACAACAATTATGTAAGACATGTTAAAATACATTTTGTACATTTTTCTAATAACCCAATAATTGTAGAATGCCTCATAGATTCGGGTAGTCCGATTTCTTTAATTAAAACTTGTATGGTACCCAGGAATATTGAAGTATTGCCGGAGGACAAGCGGTATTATGGTCTAAATAAAAGTTATTTGCAAACTAAAGGAAAAATATTATGTTACATTATCAAAAACTCTAATAAAGTATATTTTCATTTAATAATTGTGAACGAAGAATCTATGAGTCATAATGCTATTTTGGGAAGAGATTTCATGGAAGCGTGCAACATAAATTTAGACTTATGTAATTTAAAAACAAGAAAGGAAAGCTAACTTCGGGCGGAGCCGAAGTTGAAATACCCTTGCAGAATATTCTGCAAATTATATTCTCCAAAATTATTCATATGATGCATTCTTAATACTCATAAAAAA